CAATTACAACCCCCCAAACCACGCCACCCATTTACACGCACACACACACAGATATACACACACATTCACACACGCACATGCACACACAAATTCACACTGTCGTACACACACGGGCACTTTTTTTTTTTTTTTTTTCCGCCAACACGTACAACCCCCCAAACTGCGCCACCCATTTACACACACAAATACACACACACATTCACACACACACACACACACTGCGACCTTTGTTTTAATTTGTTTTCCAAAATATCTGTTTTTTTTTTTTTAATATCACAAAACAAGCAGTTAGAGAAATTAAAAGAAAGGGTTGCAGGTAAAAAAATAAAAAAAGGTGGTTTGGGGGGTGTGTTGGGGGGAGGGGAGGGGGGGGGGGGGGGGGGGGGGGGGGGCGACGGGAGGGTTTGGGTTATGAGGGGCCTGGAAGCACTTTGGGGGTTTGGGTTTCGTGCGTGTTCAAATCGCGCCAAACCCTAACCCCCAAGTCCGCCCACGCCCCCGGGTACCCGAGGTTTTTGTGGTGCTCATAGAGTGGGAAGTGAGATTTCAGAGATACCTAGGGCGGACTCAAAACACACCAAACACTCGTCGTCTGAAAACAAAAACATTGCAAATGCCAAGATGTAATCGAAGCAAAACGCAAACCAATATAGCATGGATAATAGCAAAAATCTGACACATCGTGTCGAAGCCCCGCCAGTCTATGGAAAGAATTACCAACCCAAAAATTCCGACAAAAAAGTACACTAAAAATACAGTAAAAAACTACAATCTCCGAAGTACCAAACTGCTTAGAAAAGTACCTACTAGAAAGTACACTATAATACAACATCACGAAACACTACGTCTGTCATGGATAACAAAAAACTAAACTCGAACGAAAATGTCATCTACTCCTACGAAAGTAGACTATAATACAACATCACGAAACACTACGTCTGCGCAGAAAAGTACCGACTGGAAAGTAGACTATAATACAACATCACGAGACACTACGTCTGTTATGGATAACAAAAAAGTAAACTACACTGAGAAAGTCAAGAAAACGCAAGTCCGTAGTCCATCAACAATCGTCGTGTGCACGCGGATCTCGCTCGGACCGATGAGAACCTCGTCCGTGGGACCGACCACTGCCACGTCCTCGATCTCTCTGACGCTGGCCGTCGCGTCTGCTAGTGGAAGGCTCGAGAGCGACGGGACGCTCGTCGGGGTCGTCGTCCATTATGACTCTCCTGCCTCTCACAGTCCTGATGCCTGCGGTTGCTAGGTCCTCACGTCGGCGTGACTCGCGTGCCATAGGTAGACCATCTGTCCCTGAAGTCTCCCCCTCTTGGCGTCGATCTGAGGGCACGCGTCTCTCCTGCCTCAGTTCTGTAACAACGTCAGGCTCCTGCAAAATAATCGACACCTCTCTCAAACCGTACGGCAAGGGCGGATCCACTGCGCTCGCCGCGGCACCGCCTGCACCCTCACGTCTGCCGTCGCCGTCGCCACCGCTGACACCGCCGCCACCGCCTCTACCACCAAACCCTGAAGCTACAACATCTCGGCGTCTCACGCTCGTGGAAGCCCCTCTCAAACCTGGCTGACGACCGGCACTCGCCATCGTCACCCGTCTCGTCTCGCTCCATGGTCGATCAGTGCGACCGAACAACATGGTGTCCAGCAAGGCCCGCGCACGCTCGGTAGTGTCTCTCCGTCTACGGGCAACCGGCCTCAGGGTGAGACTGCCGCCCTCCCTCGGAGCTGCGGTCAAGGGTGACGAAGGGCCTGCAGCACCGCCAGATGACGATGCGACGGAACCTCCTGAAGGTAAGCCCCCTGCAGCCCCGCCAGATGGCGCTGCAACGGAACTTCCAGAAGGTAAGCCCCCTTCAGCCCCGCCAGATGGCGCTGCGACGGAACATCCTGAAGGTAAGCTGGGGCTGGCTGGCCCCCAAGACAAGTCCTGCACGTGAGGCAGCTTCCCCTCCTCCGGGATTGACCTGAAAATACGCTGGTCGATCTCCATCAAATCCGTCCTGCCGTGCTCCTCCAACTCCTCAGCGGTCATAAAACCAAAAGGGAGGCTGCCTCGAGGCGTAGCCACATGCCTAATCTCCGGCCTCGTCCGTGACGACGCAAAAGTAGGGACCGGGGGAATGCACGCGCCCCTGCCTACACGTCGCTCCTCGACCGGGTCACCGCCATGTGCACGACGCCTATGACCCTTCAAAAACGGTGCCTGATGTGGCACCACTGACCCCATAGCAGTGCGAACCACCAAAGTCTGTGGCATCTCCTGTCCGTCCGCGTCACGCCTGTCGACCTGTGCGGGATCTCCCCCGCCAGACGTGGATATCGGATCGGCCTGAGCAGGCACCCCCACCCCGCCAACACCAACGGCCCCCGCTACGGCCCCCTCCCCCCCGGTGGTCGGTGCTATCCCCTCCGCCTGTGCCGATGGGCGAATATCATCAACGCCCACTGACTGCCCCGTCTGTATGTCCTCCAGACCCGGGGACATCTGCACGATACCCTCAACTGAACCCGTGGGCAAGGGCACGCCCGCGACCTCATGCAATGTCTCCTTGGGCCTCAGCTGGACGGCAGGAGGCTGCACCGACTTCAAACGTGGCTCCTCTGTCGGTGCCAACCCGCTCTCGTGCGTCCCCTGTTGAACATCTACTCCCGTACTCGAAACCTCTGCTGAAGCCGCCTCCCGCTGCGTCGTGTCGTAAACCTCTGCCGGAGGATCCGTGTGGGCAGTTGGCGCTACGTCAACGGACGCCGGCGTAAATGTCCCTTGCTGCCTCCGTCGGTCCTCGGCCGCAAGACGGGCGAGCTCCTGCGTCCTGGGGTCCCTCTGTGCCATGAGGCCAGCTCGACGACTATCAAGCCTATCCAGCCTCTCTGCAGATGTCTCTCCAGGGGGTGTCCGGTCCTCATCCCCCTATGCCCCCAACAACACCTTTGCGCGCATGGCAGGGGAGAAACTACTCGGGTCTGCGAAGCTGATCTGTCCCAATAAGTCCTACATACCCACACTGATGTCCCCATGGGACTCGCTCTCTCCTTGGGCCAGACCCACACTCTCTCCCGGGGGCATACCCACGTCACCAAAGTCACTGAAACCGCCTCCGCCGCCCATCGGTATCCCCTCAACTGCCGCAGCAACCTCGGCACCGCCTCCACCTCCGGCCAACGCACCACCATCTCCACCAGCCAACCCCTGTCTATCTCCGTTGTCCCCCTGCACCGGTGAAGGACCACCCTCTAATCTGTCCTCCAATCGCCTTCTCGGGCCCCTCACCAATCTCTGCAATCGATCATTCCCGGCTGGCTGCCGATGAAGCTGCTCCGTCGAAGTGGGAAGAGCGGTGGATGATGTCGTGCCAGTACGAACACGCGCAGGACGATGGCCAATCCCCGACTCTGCCCCCCTCGAAGGTACAGATCCAGGATCTCTCTCCCGCTCAGCGGACCGCGGGCCAGTGGACGTAGGCCTCTGACGCTCTAGAGGGCTCCCATGTCGACCCCCAGACTCCTCCTCCAAATCAACTCGAACGAGAAGGTCATCTCCGCCACTCCATCTACGGATGTCCTCTGGGTCGCTCCACTCATCACGCTCATCCGCCGCAGAAGTGGCGGTAGCGGGGCCCGCCGGCTCGGGCTCGTCCTCGTGACCCTCGGAATCACTGTCGTCTCGAGGGTACGGGTGCAATGTGGCGGCTCGAGTCTCAAAAACATCGCCCACATCACCCGGAGGAGCTCTGGACCCACATGGGTCTCGCTGCCAAGAACGTCTCGGATCCTCAAGCTCCTCCTGCGTCTTGCTCTCGTCCGTCCCCTTCCATGAGGGGCGAATCTCGATACCTCCCTCCACGTCCAACAATGACTCATCTAGACTCCACGACAGCGCGAACCCGCGGCCTGCCCGCTGATGAGAGAGAAGGCGGACGTTGGCTGAGATCTCAACCAACTCCGCGACCTTCTCAAACTCAAGCCGGTTACGCTTCTTTGTCTGTACACCCTCGTGGACGGCCTAATTCCGCAGGAGAGGAGCACGTCCACGTGTACATCACACGAAAAGCGATAACCTGCAACTGGGGGGCGCACTGCCCGTACCTCGACCGCCAACACCCGGACTCGTACGTCTCCGCATCGCCCGTGCACCTCTGTGCATCTCTGTCTCCGTCCCTCCCCCCCCAAGCAATCGTCCCCCTCCGTGTGTGGAAGTCGCGCAACTGCACACATGCGGTCTCGTAGTCGGGGCTCGCTACACTGAACCCTGTCTACGACAAAATGTAAGTCTCCGCCTCCCTCACCAAGCTCGCGTCGTAGTCGCTGACCACGCCCTCGAAGTACCGTAAGTCCCGCCGGCTGGGACAGAGAAGGTGAGCAGTGGCGTGCGCCGGCTCCAACATGTGAGCGCATCGAGTCTGCACCCTCTGCATAATGTAGTGTGCAAGATCGGCCGGAAGTGCACAAACCTCTTCTGCTACCTGGCGGCCAGATCCTGTGTCCACTCAACCACCCGCGACATGTGCAGCCCTCCACGGTCCAACCTGTACAACAGGTCGTACACAGGCTCCATGATGCGGAACAAGATGCCCATGGAATCCCACCAACTGCCATGCCGCACCTGCCACCTGACCCACCTAGCCAACTGACGAACGGAATGGTCTCAAGGGACCATACCCCAAGTATCGTCATCCACCGTCCTCTCCAATGCTGACCTCATTGCCAGCAAACGCTCCATTATCGCGAACACGGATGCAAAACGTGTCTCGCAAGGATAAATGAGGCCCATCTGCTTGCTCTCCCCCTGAAAAATATGGAGAGTGGCGTCGTGCTCCTCAATAATGCGCATCACCGCTCTCCCCCTCACGATGATGTCCTTGGACCACGCGCCCGAACAGCCAATGTCTGACAACATCTTGTTGCAGACATGCACTGCGCATGGGAGCCACGTGATCCGTCGATGCTCTGGCCTCTGCTCGGGCCCATGGAGCATGTTCGCCGCGGCGACGTAAGCCGAGGCGGAGTCGGTGCAGATGGCGTTCACCCACTTAGGGGGGAAGTTATCGAACACCTTGATCCAGCACGCCAACACATCAGGCGCCCGATCCTGCTCACCGTCCCTGTTCATCGTCCGGACGAGCATCACCCCACGCGACCCGCCGACAAGGAAGTTAACGATGGGTCTAGCATCACGTGACTTCCTTCGTTCTGACATAATGGTGGCCCCCGTGACATAGAAAGGAACCCTGACCTCCGTGAGATCAGCTCCCACATCGTCCGCCGTGTGGACAATGGTCTCTATGTCCGCAATCTCGTTCTCTGAAGGCCACAACACCTTCACTGGCCCCGACAAATCCCTGAAGTGTCGGACGACGTCCAACCACGGCTCGCTACGGAAGACGTTGAACGCCAGGCGCTGACTGTACACAAACCGCAGCCACCTTTTCTTGAACTCCATCTGGCACTTTGAAGAGAATGACTCCGTGATCGTGTTCTGCCTCAGCCTCTTCTGTGCTGCCGTCGGTCGCGACCCCTTCTCTCTCTCCTTCCTCTTCCCCGCAGACGGACCCGCCTCAGCCGTATCTGCACCTGCCCGTGTACGAGCCGACACGTGCGCCGACGCAAAGTACTGGCCCTGCGCCCCCCCCGGCTCGCTGACAACGCCCTTCCCTCGCTCCCTCTCTGACAACCCCGCCCGCGCAACCTCCTCGACGTCGTCGTGCACGTCGATCTGCTCCTCCGCGTCCCTCATCTCTCCCTCCCCGCCCTCGTCCCGTCGCGGATCCATCGCAGGCGCCGGACCGTGAAGCTCCTCAAACTGCTAGATCCGCTCTAGGAACTTGTCGGACATCTTGTACTCACTGTTGTAGTGGATGTCGATAAGTGCCTCGTTGGTCACTTCCGGACATCCCTTGCCCTGGTGGAAATGGCGCGCTGCCACGAACTGGTTGCCCTGGAACTCGTGGCCGCAGAAAACGCACTTCAACATGCGATTGCCGCGGAATCTCTCGTCGAGACTCTGTCCCACGTGGATGTACTTGTACACGCAACATCTCTTCTGCACCTTCCGATTCTCGTCCTCCCCCCCATCCTCAAACACCCGAGCCTGACTTCGCAGCATCGTGCCCGCTTGCCGATGGGTTCACCGAAGTGGTCCGCCCTCAGCCTGTCCCACGAAGCTCCAACTCCCGTCGACCTCCCTCCCCGCACAAGGCCCCGTCGGGCCACCGATGAGCGGCCCCTGTCGTGCCGGCTATGCACCCCGCACGGCCTCGAAACCCCCACTGCGCCGACAACGGGGTGCGGGCCGTGCACAGGAACGCCCCACAACCGTCGTTCAAAAAATTGAACGCGCGTTCAACAAATTGAATGCGCGTTCAAGAAAAAGTGAACGCGCGTTCAATTTTTAGTTCTGCTGCGCGCCGCCGCCGTTTCCCCTGCCGCTCCGCGTCGTCGAGGTCGCCGTCCGCTGCCTCGCTGAGCCGTCGGTGTCCCCGTGCGCCTCCACTTCGTCGTGTTCGCCGTCTCTTTCTCTCTCTCTCTGTCTCTGTCTCTCTCTCTCTCTGTCTCTCTCTCTGTCTCTCTCTCTCTCTCTCTCTCTCTCTCTCTTTCTCTCTCTCTCTCTCTCTCTCTCTCTCTCTCTCTC